CAACTCTTTCCCCTCCTTTGGGTCAAAGTGGCGACAAAGCTGCTGGCTAGATCTGAACCGTTCTCGAATAGAGGCTTCCTGGTCCCAAGCGGATGCCAAGCCATCCAAGCTGTAGTGCACCCCAGCTTCCTCCTCGGGTCTGGGTGTGGACGGGGGAGATGGACTCCCCGAAGATGATGCCCCCGACATGCGCGGCATGGCCAAAAATACTCAACCCCCTAAAATGAGCAATGACGCGGCTGCGCTCAGGCTGGCTGCAGTGAGACCCGGTGAGAGCGCATCAGCTGTTTCAAATCTTGGACACGAGCTCACTAGGTCATTCGTTCAGCTCAAACCATTGTATCCCATGCGCTCACTGCAGCATCTTGCCAGCACAGCGAGAAAACAAAAACATGGCAGGTGTACCTCAAAAAAATCTGCAACTCCAACGGCCAGTGGAACCAACCATTGCGAGCACACCGCCAAATGAGATTGTTGTGTGCATCTATAGAGGTTTGATGAGGTTTGTCACACTGTCTCCACAGAAGCGTGTGCTTGTGAAAAAAACTTGAGTGAGGGATAGTGAGGGGCAAGTGGTAAGTGGGGAAGTGGAAGAAAACAACCTCTAGAGTGAATGAGGTCTGAGCCAGGCCACACTTTCACGGAAGACCTGCGTCCTTGATGGCCACCACCCTGGGGCCTGGATTTGTGTTTTCAAACGAACAGTCTCGAACGGTCTCGAACGGTAAAATCAATGTCGAGTAGATATTTCAACTCTTTTGCAGGAAACAAGCTTTTTCCTGTGAAGCATAGATATTTCTATGTTGAGGGTTGTCCAGGTCTCTTAAAGGCGGAGGGTGGGACGAACAGCGTCAACCGAAAGTGCAACCCTCTGCGGAGATCGTGCGTGTGGAGTGCGCGAAATGCAGGCGAGAGTGCGATTTGTCCGGTCCGCGCGCAACCCTCTGCGGAGATCGTGCGTGTCGAGTGTTCGAAATGCAGGCGAGAGTGCAATTTGTCCGGTGCGCGCGCAACCCTCTGCGGAGATCGTGCGTGTCGAGTGCGCGAAATGCAGGCGAGAGTGCGATTTGCCGGGTGTGCGCGCAACCCTCTGCGGAGATCGTGCGTGTCGAGTGCGCGAAATGCAGGCGAGAGTGCGATTTGCCGGCTGCGCGCGCAACCCTCTGCGGAGATCGTGCGTGTCGAGTGCGCGAAATGCAGGCGAGAGTGCGATTCGCCGGCTGCGCGCGCAACCCTCTGCGGAGATCGTGCGTGTCGAGTGCGCGAAATGCAGGCGAGAGTGCGATGTGCCGGGTGCCCGCGCAACCCTCTGCGGAGATCGTGCGTGTCGAGTGCGCGAAATGCAGGCGAGAGTGCGATTTGCCGGCTGCCCGCGCAACCCTCCGCGGAGATCGTGCGTGTCGAGTGCGCGAAATGCAGGCGAGAGTGCGATTTGCCGGCTGCCCGCGCAACCCTCTGCGGAGATCGTGCGTGTCGAGTGCGCGAAATGCAGGCGAGAGTGCGATTTGGTACGCAACTCTAGTACGCAGAGTAGCTGGGGAGCTGGAAGCTGAGAACTGGCGACGTGGTGGTGCGAGAGTAGTACGCGGAGTAGCTGGGGAGCGGGAAGATGAGAACTGGCGAGTGGGTAGTACAACTTGAGGGCGTGGAGTATCTGGGGAGCTGGGAGATGAGCACTGGCGACTGTGTAGTACAACTTTAGTACGCGGAGCAATCTGTGGAGCTGGAAGCTGAGAACTGGCGACTGCGTAGTACAACTTTAGTACGCGGAGTAATCTGTGGAGCTGGAAGCTGAGAAGTGGCGACTTGGTAGTACAACTTTAGTACGCAGAGTAGCTGGGGAGTGGGAAGATGAGAACTGGTGAGTGGGTAGTAGCTGAGAACTGGCGACTTTGTAGTACAACTTAAGTAGTACGCGGAGTAGCGGAGGAGCTGGAAGATGAGAAGTGGCGACGTGGTTGTTCAGATGGCAAAGCCAGCACGCTGGCTGCCATCATAGTTGAAGGCGTGTATGAGCCAGCACGCTGGCTACCATCATAGTTGAAGTGGGTAAGCCAGCACGCTGGCTGCCATTGTCCAGATGGCAAAGCCAGCACGCTGGCTACCATCATAGTTGAAGTGGGTAAGCCAGCACGCTGGCTGCCATTGTTCAGATGGCAAAGCCAGCACGCTGGCTGCCATCATAGTTGAAGTGGGTATGAGCCAGCACGCTGGCTACCATCATAGTTGAAGTGGGTAAGCCAGCACGCTGACTGCCATTGTCCAGATGGCAAAGCCAGCACACTGGCTACCATCATAGTTGAAGTGGGTAAGCCAGCACGCTGGCTGCCATTGTTCAGATGGCAAAGCCGGCGCGCTGGCTAGCATCATAGTTGAAGTGGGTAAGCCAGCACGCTGGCTGCCATTGTCCAGATGGCAAAGCCAGCACGCTGGCTGCCATCATAGTTGCAGTGGGTATGAGCCAGCACGCTGGCTACCATCCTAATTGAAGTGGGTAAGCCAGCACGCTGGCTGCCATCATAGTTGAAGTGGGTAAGCCAGCACGCTGGCTGCCATTGTCCAGATGGTAAAGCCAGCACGCTGGCTGCCATCATAGTTGAAGTGGGTAAGCCAGCACGCTGGCTGCCATTGTCCCCTTGCCAGCAGCCCAAATGCTCACGACGATGAGCTGGGCTGTCACCGCTTGGCCGCCGGTGGGGGGTTTGGGAGGCCGCATCGCACACAAACACCCACACACTCCCTCAACTTCCACGAACACACACATACGCAGACTCGTTTCCACACGGACATAGACACACGCACAGAAACCCACACACTACCTCAACTCACTCGACTTAACACTTCTCACTACACACTTACCGGATAACTCGCACTCTGATTTCCTACGTGATGAAAAATGCTTTCGGGCCACTCGTCGTCTAGTTTTTTTCTGTTCAATGTCTAAAGTTCAGATGATGGCAAGGAGCATTGCAAACAAGATTGGTTGCGGGTTGCGGATTACACTGCCCAAAATCCGCAACCCGCAACAGTCCTTGTGATCAATAAGTAATAAACACAAAAATAGGAATTCAATTGAATTTGAAATTGAGTCAAATTCAATTCCAAATCAATTCCAATTCACTTGAATTTGAGTTTAATTCAATATCAATTCTAATTTTCAATTTTAAATTCTATCACGTCTTTCATGTAAAATTTGTTTTACTGCGGGATCATTTCATTTCTAATTAAACATATTTCTTGGAACCTGTGATGAACTTTATTTAGGGTAAACCAAAATTTCAAGATGTGCCACTCCCGTTTCTTAATCAAAGGTCAAATTATATATATATATATGTGATTACACATGTGTATATATATCCAGTATATATCAAACACGTACATCAAACACACACTTGACATTGGGTTTTCAGTTAACTCAATTCCCCGAGAAAAGGAAAGGCTCAACGGCAAGGTGGAGCGTCCGATCGCTTGAAGGTGCTTGAAAAAAGTGTTTCTCGTGATGCATGAAAATTAGCTACTGATTACTTAGCCGACCGAAATAACGCCGTGCATGGAAACCTGGTTTGGGGGACGTATCATGAAAACGACCATGAAAGCAAAAAAGAGAGAGTAGAACAGCTTGGACAACAGTTGATCGCAGGTACGTTTGCACCCAGGTGGGGGGTGTCTTCGTTGGCCGGAGACCCCCCAACCTGGCTCCGGCCCCCTGCGTGGAAAAACTCTTGGAAACAGAGTGTGGCACACACACACTCAGCCGCTTTGCGGCGCTCTGGCGCAAAAACCTAAATAGGCACCTAAAAAGCCTTAGAAAAGAAAGAAAAACAGAAAGAGCAGCGCTAAAAGGGCAGGAGAGAAAGATAGGCGTAGGAAAAGGTGAATACTTAGCGCTTGACTGAGGCAGGGAAACGAGCCTCAAGAACCACCTAAAAAGCCTGAAAGAAAGCCCAAGAAACGACGAAAAGCGCAAGAAAGAAAGCGGGGGGCAGGGAGGGGGTGTATGTCCATGTGTGTGTGTGCCTGAATACTTAGCACTCTAGAGTTACCGATTACTTAGCAGAAACTAATTAGGTGCAATAGTTAGGGAGCGGGACTTTAGTCTTAAACCGCCCGGGTAGAGTAGACTAGAACAGGGACAACAGAGGGAAAGGCACCGACACACAAGCGTGTCAAGTACCATTTCCGTCTGTTACCCAAATTAGGTGGGGAGTAGGGAACTCGGCCGGGGGGGGGGGGGGGGGTGGGGTCATTCTCCATATGCCCGGCGGCTTTGACTTTCCGAATACCCGGTGGTCGTAAAAACCGTGGTGCCCGGCGGCTTGGATTTTGGGAATACAGTGGTGAAACGAAGTCGGTTAAGATAATCCAATGTGTCCAGAAAGCAGCAAAATCCGATGGTGATACTCCGGCATGAAAACAGCGCCCCAGTGACGGGGATCACACCCTGCAGAGCGGCACACACTTTGACATTGGGTTTTCAGCTAACTCAATTCCCCGAGAAAAGGAAAGGCTCAACGGCAAGGTGGAGCGTCCGATCACTTGAAGGTGTTGGAAAAAAGTGTTTCTCGTGATGCATGACTGCAGAAAATTGGTTACTGATTACTTAGCAGACCGAATTAACGCCGTGCATGGAAACACACACACACACACCTCACACATGTATATCAATACTTATGCAATCCAGCATGGGCAGGCCACTCCAGAACACAATCCAACACCACACTTGCAAACCTTGCAGCATTGTGCGGCGGATGCTGCAGGGGAAAAAACCTTCACATTGAGCCCATGATTGTGGGAATGCGGCATGCCAGGTGCTCCAAAATGCAACACCATCATCACCATCATACATTACATTATGCATGTCTATAACTGTGCAAGTCACTGTGCACCTAATTCAGGTTCTCCGGTGATAGAAAAGGAGTCGAAAGGATTGGTTCTCGCATTTTCGGCCTCCCGTCCTCGCGACCGCCGCTTTCGCCGCCGCGTTCTCCGGACGCCCCGACGCGTTCTCGGAGTTGATGCACCAATCGAGGATTGTGAAATTGACATCCTGGAGTCACACCAAAATAGGACTCATTGGGTGGACATTCTTTTGAAGCACTCGAAGCACTTGACTTGTGACTGTTGTCTATCTACCAATGTAATCTAATCTAATCTCATCTGATCTATATTTACGTGTGAAAGGCTATATAGAGTGGCTTGATCTCAGTGACCACTGCCGGGAGACCAGGGGGGACCTCTAGAACACAGTGGATCTTCCCGAACACTTCCTGACACCAAAAGCCCAGTGAACGCTGCACGTCCCGTCTGTCGCGTGACCCGTTAGGGTCGGGCATGGTCGGTACTTCGCCTGCATCGAGGCGGCGTTCCAGCGCAATCAGAATTTCCAGGTAGGCGGACACCTCAGGCAAAAAATAGGCCAAGATGAGGATCTTCGTATGTCAGCAAGGTTATTTTGTTCAGAAGCTGCAATGCTGGCAAGCAGGGCACTGATCAAAATAAGACAGAAACTTTGTGGATGCGCAGTTGCAGTTCGTTCACAAAGGACGTCCCACCAAAAAACGCGCACTGAGTTGCAAGGCCACTGCCCTCTGGCACTGTGGCCCATTGCTCCTGGCAACGTGGGGCTGGGTTTTCGGGCTTGTTGGGCCGTTGGGCTCTCCAAGACTTGGAGCCCCTGACCTCCCAGACCTTCCTGCCCAGTTTGTTTTCAGGCCGATCGACACGAGGCTCGGTACAGAGGCGCTGGTGGCTTTCGTGAATTCCACTGACAGTGCCTGTCAGCACGCTCCCACAAAGCCATGCTGACCCTGAGCGGCTCGCAGCTCTGCAACTGTTTATAGATGTTTATAGCATTACAGTTTCAGAGCAGATGGCACAGACCTCAAGATGTCCTTTACATGGGGGTTCATATAAACCACCTCTTGGGGTCTGTGCCATCTACTCTCAATCCACTATAGTTAGCCATGTTCAAACTGCCTTCCTTGATGCCAACCTGGCCGACAATGACTTCTGGGGGCGGTTGGGAACAAGTACAAGGACAACGAGGGGAACCTGTACCGTACAGCTGCGGATTCTCCACGGTTCCGCTGGACTGCTGGTCTAAGCGGTTAGGACATGTTAGAGCCTCCCATCAGTCAAAGGTGTGAGGTTGGGCGTCGCCCGAGCTACGCCACGCACGCATGCGGGAGCGAGGTCAGGGTCAGCGGTGAAACGCTTGCTGGCCATATTGCCAGCCACGGTCCCAAACACGGACCATTCCCAGCAAACAGCCCTTGAGTCACCCCAAACAGCCACTCCTGGGGCTGCACTAAAGAATTCTCAGTAGCAGGCCCAGGAGTTGTCGAAGCACAGTTTATTTCTCGTTGGTCAACTGGCAATATAGAGCACATGATCCATCTTCCTGCTGTTTGTCATCCCAGGATCTGCAACCTGATTGGTTCCTTTCTGGATGTTCAGGGCTCTCCCCTAAGGGCTTCATGAGCCCACGTCGCTCATGCGTCGCATCGGCCGCAGTTGCAGTCCGACTGTAAGTCTAGTTGGTTCGATAACATGTATCCGCACTAGCTAAGCACTTCACACCACTTGGATTTCGGGATTTATATAGGAAGTGCTGAGTCGTACTGTATGCACAAGTCCTTTCAAACACCCCTGGCAATCAATATAGAACTTGAAAGTAGACACTCGAAAACAACACCCCCCCAAAAAAAAGTAATCGCAATAGGGGGCAATAGTTTGGGCACTCCTTGCGCCAGAACGGTCAAGGTTGGGTCCAATTGCGTGAGTGACCCTGCAAACAAAACAGATCTGGGATTGGTTCAACCGATTTCGGATGCCCCAAGGTGTTCTTCTCCTCAATAATTTGGGTCACCCTCCAAGGCACACCCCCACTGCCAAATTGAGCCTTTCTTCGGCATGACAATTCCGCCCACTGGTCACCGCTTCAGTGCCTCAAACAAGCCTGGAGCTGTTTTTCATTGGGCTTTGCGACTCAGTCACTGCACTCCAAAGATGCCCACCAGTGATTTGAAGTCTTCCAGGTGCCAAAGGGACCGAAAGTAAGGTGTTTTGGGGGCCTCCCTGCCCCCTCTCCCAAGAGCTGATTTGGATTTTTCGTTTTGGGCCACTCGAACCCTTTTTCGTTCATAGTGGAGGTGTGCGTTCCGAGTGGGAATTATTATTCACTTGGGGTCAGGCCAACTCATTTTACCCAAAGCATGCCCTCACATCCAACACATCAAAAAAAGAACACCGGGGGGCATGAGCAACGTTGAAAGCTCGAAACGAGCAGCTCCCAAGCACGAAACACTGCTCAAGGCGATAGCTTCACGTCCTCCGCCTGCGCGATAGCTTCGGCTCGACCCGATGCGTTGGGCGAGGCGATCGCGATGGTCGGGTGATGTCAGCTCTATGAACCGCTAGTTGCTCGCTGCTGATGCTATCAAATATGTTTTTTGGCCAACAATACCGGACAATACTATGATATACTGTAATGACATGGTTCGTGATGTGCTTGAGGATTCCCCAACAATCCGCCACTCATGAGTTCAGCGTGCTTTCACAACATGGATCCTCCCAAATGAGGCATGATTGCAGCACAGCACCAGCCCCCAGCAAATGGACGCCGAACAACAACTGAGGGTACTTGGAACATCAAGCCGCCCATGATGTGTCGAGCATGTTCAACCATTGTTCCTTTTGGCTCCTTTTGGTCTCCCATATTAGATCACATCAAGTAGGAAAAGATATGAAAAGGAGGACCAGTGGACCCATGACGTGCGAGAATCTGGGCGATCCACCAGGTGGTTTGAGAACCCTGCCCGCTTCATTCACTCAATTCATCAGGTCCATCTTCTCAGGACCAGCCGGCCAGTCCTGAAGGGTGCTTAGCTGCTCCGCACCAAATGATGAGACTCGACGCCACGATGGCTCGTCTTCAGGCGATGCTGTCCTCCGTTCCTGATTCGTGCCGGGGGCAATACAAGAAGCCGTGCCATTTTGGGGAGGCTCCAGAGAAGAGAAACAAACAACAAACAAACACATTCAGGGCCGGTCCTTCCATGTACTTCTTCACTTGTACCCAGTTCCACTTGAAATCTCTTGATTCTCTTATGTTAAAGCTGCTAGCTCTGGTTTGGTACAGGTCATTGCATCTGTCCAGTTTGCACAACCGGGGCCTGAGGAAAGTTAATTCACTGGAGTCGTCCGGCCAAGCTGAGAGAGAGAGAGAGAGTTCCCACAAGTTTATCACGTTCATCAAGCCAGCAAGGGTTTCACATAGACAATGCCAAAACCATCCCACTATCCTAAACCAAAAAGCTGATGGTGTATTCTTGGCACGTGAACACTGCGCTGGCTAACCTCGCGCAGTTCCCTTGTCGCTCTGCTCTCAGCTGAGGATCTTGGCTTTCTCCCCCGCCCTCAACATGGTCCAATAAAGATCTGATGGCACCATAGTGGTCGCGTCAATTTGCACCTCCTGGAAGAAGTGTGGAATAAGCGATCTTGTGATCATGCATGTAAAGAACCATGCGATAAACAGCAAGTAAACCTTTAAAAAAACCATGCGATAAACAGCAAGTAAACCTAAAAAGATCTCGGGAAGACACCTCATTGGGCCTTTTGCTCTACAATCTAGCAGCCCAAACAACCAGGGCTTCATGCAGTGCAGCATAGTGCAGCCTTTGGCCTTTGGAATGAAAAACAAATAACGTGTTCTATTCTTGGTCACTTTGTGGAAAAACGGTGGAGTAGATCTCCTCCGGCAGGTCCATACGGGTCCCAACATCGAGGTGACAGGAATCCCTTCGAGCATGGCGCTTGCGCCGTGGGCACAGCTTGAGCTGTGCCACTCCAAGACATACCAATGACTCCCAAGGGAAACATGATGTGAAAGCACTGGGGTTCGGCGGGGCCCCCCTTAATTACTGGCTGCGACCCCTGCAGCCCAATTCTCTAGGCCTCGCGTCCCCGCACTGCCCACGTCCGCCGGCGTGTATTCCGCGTCCCTCCGTCCTTGTTCCGACGGGCTTTGGGAGCGGAGGCCTCCGCCGAGGCGTCATGCTTCTCGTTCTTGGTGTCCGTCACCTGGAAGCAGGACACGACAGCGGGTTCCGCAGGACTGCAGGACAGGGGAGAGTTCGCATGGGCACAGGTAGGTTGTTTTTAGAGAAGAGCTATTCCTGCAAAGGCGGAGAAAAGGAAGTTCTGCCTGAGGGTTCAATTCATTGGTCACAGGACATGCCTATTCGAACACTTCTTTTCAGGACCGGAATCTCTTTATTGGTCACAAACAGGATGTCACAGGTATGGCAAGTTACTTGGAGCTCACCCTCCGATCAATCCCGACATTTGTGTGACAGCCACGGTACCAGGTACACCTCAAGCATAGTGGGAACAGCACAATCCCCAGTCATCTCTCCAAGTACCTTTGAAAGGGAGATAGTTGGAGCATGTTGGAGCTCTGCGCTCCCTGCCTCAACTGCGCATGAGGATTTGGGCTTGGTGAAGGCCACCTGCACCAAAAATGTTCGGAACTCATCAAGTCGTCGAGTCATCAAACAGCTCCTAAAGAACATTGCACATGCATGACGTCATGTGCTACGCACTGCTGCGCATATATGCTGGGATGTGGAAAGCGGAGCAGCAATCCTGCTAGATCGCCAGCCATTTGTTGAAGTCCAATTCACTCCTTGCCTTCTTCGAATTGGCCAAGTTTGTGCTACACGGCCAGGAATGATAGGATTGGTCCATCAAGTTCTGGGTGTAACGGTATGATTCAGGAGTCAGGAGTCCTTCATAACATGCACATTGGATCATTGGTTGTGAATCATGGCTACGCACATGCACTCATGACTCACAACCGCTCTTATTCACACATATGGTGTGTCTCGCAAGACTCTTTACAATTTTTATATAATCACCATCCGTGATACTGTCACATGCACGCCCGCGCACACACACACATACACAAGAAGAGAGATAGAGAGAGAGAGATAGTAAGTATATAAACGAAACAAACTAAAACAAACAAACAAACAAACACCCCAATATGAGCGTGTTACAGTTGCAAAATGTACCACGAACCGTAGGCTCCTCCCTCCGTCCCTCCACCCCGGCCTTGGCGTCCTTATAGGCATTGGCGTTGTCTCCATTGCCCCAAACTCGGGCCATCAACCGAGAGATTGGGGCCAATGCCTGGCCTGGTACATTGACACATGCCATGGCGCCTCTGACTTCACGGCTCCGGCACCGCGCGTTGGACGGTATAGTCCGGCGGGTCTGTGCGTGTGGGGCCGGTTTTCTGAGCCACGGTGTGCAAAATGGACATGCTGAGACCACGCAGTGCCCGTCCTGCCTTCTATTCAAAAGCAAGCTTCGTCATTATGCTTGGAGGATCTTGGAGGTCCAAATTTTACATGCTCCTCTTTTTCTCAACGAACTACTGTGAGTCAAACTGATCTCACAATGCGAAAATATGTGAACATGCCAAATCTTGGCCAAAAGCAGGCACCAGCACGATGCAGGACTTGTCAACTTCCGAAGCATCGTCTTGCACTGCTGCTTAGTCACTGTCCAGTCTGTTAGACACCGCCAGCTTAGAATTTTAGACTAGAGATACAGGGTCCATTTGCTTTTGGAGCCGAGCAGGCCTTGGTATCCTGTTCTTGGATTCCAAGCTCGGAAGCAACTTATCTACAGTAGCATCTAAATTAGATTGTTGCCCGCTCACACTTGGATCTCGGGACAGGATTTCCAGCTCACATGTAGAGGCACACCTCTCATGACCTGACAAGCTTGGAATATTCAAAGTTCCAGTGGTCACCACAACACGAAAAGCCCCAAAGATCCTGGGAGTCAAAGACTATAAAAAGGATGGTCTTTAGGTGACCCGGAAATTAATTTCCTGTACTTCAGTCGGTCAAAAAATAGTCGAACTGGCCTTCCACGGAAGAGACTTGAGGAGGATCCCACTTGGACACTTCAGGAGCTGAACCGCCTGCGTTCACGAGATCTTGATATCGGGTGAGGAAACAACATGAAAGTGCTTAGCTGGGGGCCTGTTTCAACTTCACTGCATCCAAGCTGGTCCCTCAGCTCGCCTGAGCTTAGCTGCTGAGCTCGTCTCTTTTTCTTCACGCCCGAGGTCGAACAAGACGAGAGGCCCAAACGTTGCATTCCAAAGCTGCGGCCAACTGGAAATACAAGTGGGAGTCACGTGCAACAGGTCCATCAGCGGCCTTCGAAACGACACCAGCCACGAATAAGAAGCTAAACATCAAGCAACCGCGTCTTCCACACATCATCATAGTCAATATGGATCTGGATGTGCGGGAACCGCCGCACAAAGTTGCAAATGGCCGCCATGCAAGAGATGCAGCAGAAGTGGCACACGAAGAGCCTCAACCTCATTCTGCCCGTGTGCCGTCGTGGCTGCGACCCAGAGAAAAGCTTTGGCATACCGTGAAAGTTTCAACGAGAAACCAAAACAGGGGATGACTAGACACGGGGTCTCTTTGAGCACACTGTGACATTTCAGCTAGTGCGATCCAAAAAAGGGAAGATTTCTGATAGAATACCAGTGGGTTGGAGGGAAACATGATGGTGCGCGGGGGGCCACGGAGCAAGGCTTGCAAGGCACATGGATTCCAAACCACTGTGAGTGTTCAGGAGGGTAAGGCCCCACTTCAATGTAGATTCACATGTGCATATTGTCCGGCCACTTGGACCGCCAAGCCAGCGGGAAACACATGTCCAACGGCGGTGTTTCACACACGGGGTGCCACTCTGTTTTGTTTGGTTGGCTCTAGTTTTGGTCCAACAACTGTACCACTACAGAGCACCCAGAAAGCAGTGGAACAGTGGAACACTTGGCAATCCTAAGGTAATATACTGCATCTGAGAATGCTTCTCATGCCGCCAGCGCCAAACTGACATCTGTATATAGATACTGGTGGCTCATTTCAGAGTGGAAGGGGCCAAGTTCTTGATGTCAAACCTCGAGTGCAAAGAGTCCCCACTCTGCGCGCCTTCTTTCGCCAAGCATCTCTCCACTGACCCGAGCACCTAAGGACCCATCGAACAGGCCCAATTCGATGCTGCTCTCCCGCTGTGCCATGTTGCCACGATGGCTCTTCCGTTCCAAGCGACGGATGGCACTGATGATCTCCAGAATGATCTGCGCAAAAAAGCAGCAACTGACTTAGGAGCGAGGACGCTACTAGGGGCTCCTGGCCTCACTACTAGGAGCAAGACGCTACTAGGAGCAAAGGGCATCGCTACTAGGAGCAAGCAAGGACCCTACTATTCTTGAGTCACTTGGTTTGACCCCATTGTTTGGTGCCTAGGGCCTAGAGAGCAAGGAGATCCGAATCTCCAACGAGGTCGAGAAGACGTTCTTTTTCAGCGACCTGGGGTCAGGCAGACCTGAAAGAAAGAGGAGAAAGCGATTGGGTTGATGAAGCCAAATGCAACATATAAAATGAGAACAGCTTCGCGCTTGGCCTTAAACTGTAATTCGCTCAGCCTGTTCAATGGAGATGGGGACCTTACTTACACCTGTCCCAAATTGTGTTTGATATGTTTGGATCCCCTGGTTACCTGCTTTAGCCTGCTTTGAGCCGGCCTCTAGCAATGCCTGCCGCTCAGTATGTCCTGCACGGTCATGCTGGGCAAAAAGCCCCTGCAGCCATTCTTGTCCTTCGACCATCACCATCCCGCAATTCAAACAAATGATTCCGACCGAAAAAGGCCGGGGTGTTGGACTGTTACAGGGAAGCTGTCCTTTTCGAACATCTTGAAGCGTGAAAAGCACCTCACCTGAGCAGCCATGACTGCACGCAGCAGGCTCGCATCATTTGAATGGGCTCAGCTCACCATCGAAAGCACCCAAATCCGCACCGCGCATGACGCCTATCGTTTGGACGCTTCCTCATGTTGCTCAAAACCTTCCCTCAAACCTATAGCCGACCTAGCCGTGCTCCTGAAAGCAAATGATCAAACGAACTGAGACCAATTCTGACCTCCGCGCTGAGAATCCACACCCCAAAACGGAGTAAAGGAGTTTTGCAAGCGCCTCCAAGGAGCCTTTCCACTGCGCCTCCAGCCTTGCAAAGGTCTCCAAGCCACGCTTGTCCATGGCTCGATGCTCATCGAGACCTCAGGAAGCACGGCGGACCGAAACCGCTGGGAACCCCACTGATTCGGAGAAGTGTGATTCCAAAGAAACCGCATCACTAAGCAGTGAGCGCGGCTTGCGTCTGTGCATCTGAGCAGCTGAAGGAACAAATGCGCCCACGCTCACCTGAGGGGGTGATTGGTGCGAAGAACCCATTCTTGATGGGTTTGGACCGGGCTTTGGAGCGAGGAGAAGCAGAATCATCACATATAATACAGTATATGAAGCTAAGGGAGCTCGCCATCCACTTCTATGTATATTTGTTCTTCATCAACTGTTGCAGTGATGAGTGAACACAAACAAGGAGAATCAAAAGCACCTTTTAGCAATTCCGGGTCACTGAGAGTCTCCATGCATGGCACATTGGAGGCTTCAGAGCTGATCTCCACTTTTAGCTCAAATGAAATCCTCAGGCCAAAGGAGTCACAGAAGCTTTCGGAAAAAAACGCATGAACAAACACTTTCCGTATATTACAATGTACAGTATAGGAATGACATGAGTTATAGAAAGGAAAGGGTTGGTAAAACCTTGAACGCCTTATAGAGGACTTGGAAAGCAAACTGTAAATGCATGCATGTGCGGGCTTGTTGGCGACCTGAAAAGCAAAGACCCTGGACAGGTTGATTCTGAGATCCTCGAGCCGACAAAGGGGTCTCTCACCGCATACTTGGCCTTTGCCAAACAATAGCAGCTACAGTCTCAGGTGGCTTTGGACAATGTCCTTTCTTTATTCATTTATCTCTCTCTCTCTGTCTTTTTTTTTTAAACTTTATTTTGTTATTTATTGGTATTTTTATTGGTTTTATTTATTTATCTATTTATTTCTTTTGTTTTTCTTTCTTTCCTTCTTTCTTTCTTTCCTTATTTTTTTCTTTCTTTCCTTTCTATCTTTATTTCTGTTTATCTTTCTTTCTTTCTGTCTGTCTGTCTGTCTTTCTGTCTGTCTGTCTGTCTGTTTTTCTTTCTGTCTCTCTCCCTCTCTCTCTCTCTCTGCAACATATATACATGTCGACATCGACAGGTCACCCCTCAAAGCACCCGTGGAAGGTCTTATTGATTGTCTCTACTATCACCGTTCAATTGATTGGTGGAAATGTGCTGTCCTTCCATACCCACAACTTATGAACTTCTGGCTGGCAAAGCGCGAAAACCTGACCCCTTGAGAAACAATCCTCCACAAAACTCGAAAATGGTCTTCGCAAAGCGCCAACCCCAGAAGTGGCACAACGACTCTAGTCTCTTCCTTCATTTGCCTCAACTCAAGAGTGACCTGCATTGAAGGTGCTGACCACTCAAGCGGAACATTAATCTCTCCAAGACACCAGGAGATCACTCTCCGCTCGTGTGGCCCAAAGCGATCAAACCACATAAAGCCCAGCTCCTCTCAACGTGGTGTAATTATCAAGGTTTCCTGCGAACATAAGGTCTATGATAGGGTAGATTAGATAATGAATGATGAATCATAATGATACATCATGAGGTGTCATAGGCTTTTGGTGGGACATCGAGATCCTTCATGACTCTTCTGAAGATCCTTCTATGTGCACCGAGAAGAAACACCACGCCGCACCAAACGCGGTGTTTCTCTTCGTGTCCTGCCGGATCTGGGCCAAGGTTTCGGCCACGGCCTCCCTTGCGACGTCGCCCCATCCGGGCGAGCCCGTGGACGAGTCCGGCCCGCCCACCGTGGGCGCTCGTGCGAAGGCGCACAGTTGACGCCGGTCGCGGGGATCGATGAAGCCCAAATCACGCATGGCCACGCGGGTGAAGATCGGACCCAGGAAGTCCACCTAGCGATGGGCACTTTGCAAGCAATATGCTGTTTAGGCAGTCGGTGGTGATTACGGCCTGGCCGATGGAAGGGATGACTTTGGGAGCACGACTTTGTACACTATGTCAAAGATCAAGTGCTGTGGATCTCTTGTTGTCTCTCTTTTCTTATGATACGAAATCCAAATCGCCAGTCCTCATCCTTATTATCCACAACCTTTTTCAAGAGTTGGACCACCAATCCCAAAACAACAACACACCTCAATATTATTGACCTTAGATCAAGACTAAGAACTCCCGCCCACAATAATTGAACAAACTTTTGACAAAACCTTGAAGAACAAGTACTGCAACACCGCAGGGCCATGAACCAGGAACCCTGGCGGGTGTTTTCTCGATGAAGAACATCATATCGGGGGTGGAAATATAATCAAGAGTCCACACATGTCTGCACACTCTGTGTGTGTGTCACCTTGGAAGCCACCATGAATCAAACACCCTGGTCACCTGCAGCTCGTCAATGAGCCGCTGAGCACTCCGCCGCGCAGCTTCCAGTGGCGAGAGCCGTTCCGGGACGCTTCCAGCGAGGTGCCCGTGGGTGGCGGGACCGGCGTTCAGCAGCTTGGACGGGGCGGGAGCCACAGGGGCCTGGGGTGGACATTCTTGGAACCCACTGGTCAAACTACCTTGGTGCTCCGGGATGATTTAGGCACAAGTTGGTTGGTGGCAGGTTCTGTGCTTGGAGATGTTTGGGAAGAGCCTCTCCATGTACAAAAGAGCAACCCGTCCACCATCAATTTAGCACACAACCAACCTGGCCTCCAGCGGTTCCGACATGCCCAGTAGCCCTTGATCTCGACCAATGATGGCATCCAAGGCACCAACCACACCTGGTGACTTGCGGCCGTGAGCCTCTTCTTTCCAAGAACAAGGTAAAAGGAAGTGAACAGCCATCAAATGCTGATCAAATGGCCCGACAAGCCAACAGCCAACATCCCAACTTCTTTCAATCTCGGATTTGACCACTTGAAGGTTCTCCCAATGTTGCAGCCTGCTTGGCCTGCCCAGGCACGTGTGAAGACCCGGTCATGGAAGGTCTTCTCCAAGCTGCTCCAGTGGCGGAGCTGATGTCGGAAGCTCCAACAGGCGTTCACCACCTGCACCAGCTCCCAACCCTCATAATGCCGCTTCTGCACCAGCTCCAAGAAGTGTTCCAAGGCATGGTCCAGCCAATCGGGCCCCACCAGGTCCTCAGAGCAGCTTCCGTCGGTGCGAGGAACGTTCGAGGGAAATGACAAACCTGTAAGAAATGTGTACTGTATGTGTAACAAGCACAGTGTTTTGTATGCATCATAAATTATGTGTATATATATTATTTATATATGCACATGAATATGCACATATATAAATCGATGGTATGGTGGAAGAAGATCTGGACAAGCTGGCCAATTATCTTGGACTGCCCGCAACTAAGTAGGGATCCGAACCTAGAATAAATTCATCTTAACTGGCCATTCTATTTGCACCACGGGTCTCTATTGAAGATCGTGAAGGACCAAAGAGCATTCGAGACCTCTCTGGCCTCAAATTGTCTCATCTTTCTGCCAGCATGGTGTGCGAGTGCCTGCAGGAAGTGCTCGTGGTAGACGTTGGGCTTTGCAAACGCCATGGCCTCAGATCAACCATGAAATCCAAGGCTCTCAGCTCCTGCCTGATAGAATCAACAATTCATCACTTCGAGCAAAGGAAATCAGCGAGACAAAGGAACCCCTGCAACTTCATAATCAGCTGGCTTTCAAAATTTCATAAGATTTCGTTCTCACAGGAAACCTCAGGAACCAAATCCTTTGAAGGGATGCCCTTTCATCAACAGTCCTTGATCTCCAAGGACTCTCGCCAGGTGGCGGTGTTGGCCAGGTCTTGACAGGTGTATCCCGCCACTTTCTTCAGGCCCTCCGAGGCCACCGCCGCCAAAAAGCCGTCGTGCCGGACGCCCAAACGGCAACAGGCCTCGTTAGCGGGCACCGGCCGGTCCGTGAGGTTTGTAGCTGGATGGCGCAACGAATTACTTAGTAAACCCCATGGGTGCTGGCCTATGGGTGTGCCATGAGGTCAGTTGGGTCACCTCGAGCCAGTGCACAGCAAGGAAAAAAGAAAGGTCTGTTGTTCAATCATCGGTGGGTCTACAGGCTATAGTTGACGATTCCCTCCCTGATATGTTTGATTCAGGAGTGTGGGGCGCTCTACGATCTCTACTTTCACGCGTAATGGAGCTCCTTCGGGACCTGTTCGTTGACAATGTTTGGCCGCAAATTGTCCTACACGAGATTCAGGGGTCTCAAAACGGGGCCCCTGGTAGAAGGAAAGCACACAAACACAAGTTGCAGGAACCTACGATGGTCTCCAGTTAGGCGTGATTCAACATACCTCGATGAAACATCGGGTCAGGCGGCCTTGTTCAACTGTGCGCCTAACCTCGAGGGGTTCAACTTGAGCATGTTCAGTCTGAATCTCAGCCTGGTGGCCCAAGAGGAGTTGCTCAGCTCTTGAGTAGTACAATCCGGAAGGCGCCGGATGATCTCTTCCAACAAGGCGTTGATGAGCTGCCAGCTGGATTTCCCCAAACACTCCTCGCTTTCGCGCAGAACGGGTGCGGAGTATGGGGGGAACTGCGAAAGAACATCAGGGTGCACCGTGTACCCTATAGCTTGCCCGAACAGCTGGGCAAAGTCTGTCTGTGTAGGTTTGGTTTGTGAAAGTGGGTGGAATTAAGGGCATGTTCATCTGCAAAGGTGTTTTTAGTGTTTTGTGCCGCTTCTTTGAGCTGTGTTCTTTGAACTGATTTTGGAGCAATGGATTCCAACCCTGACATCCAGCTTGGCCCGACGGATGTCCTTTCCTTCGATTAAGGCTGGCATGTTGCTCTTTCATGCTCTTTCCATCTCTTTCCCATTTTATCTCTCTTGCGGTGCCACGTTTTCATCACATGACATCCAAAACCCCCCCCCCCCAGCGACCAACATTGCAAATTTGGTCGAACATCGAAGCCAACAAAATGACACGTCTTGGCCCAATCCTCACCCTTGATCACAAGCGTTGCAAAGCCCCACAACGTGTTGACCTGGGCGTTTGGCGGGTCGCGTCGGGTCCGGGTGAACCTGGCAAAGGTCGCACGGGGGTTGAGGGTGCATCGTCCTTCAAAATGCTTTTAAAGCCTTGCCCACATCAGGGTCCAATGCATGTTGGACAAACTTGGACTGATTTGCATTTGATCCAGGGATGGGACGGGCCAATTTTGGCTTTTAGCTGGCCTTTAGTGCACCACCACCTTTTAGTTTGTGTGTGTGCGTCAGTGTGAAGAGTCACTTCCCCTTACATCCCCTTACCATACGCAGCCTTCAAACACACAAACACCTTGCAAAAACAATGCAAAAACACGTCACTGGAATTTAGACCTGGAGCAGCAAACTTTGAATCACATCCCGTCTCACATACCTCACGTCATTTTGCAAGTAAATGGAACACTTGGAGCAATGCTTTGACCGAGACGCATCCCTTCCGTGTCTTAGACCCACACCACGGCAGACTGCCCCCGAACTGCTCAGCTGCGCGAACGGCCTCTGCAGCGAAGTGACCAGACCCTGGGGCGAGAACTGCCCCAGCTTCCGAAGCGTCTCATCTGCGATGGCCTTGATCAAGGGGTCGTGGCGGAGACCAATCTTCGCCTCATTCGACGCAGTGATCTTGGTCCAAAAGCCAATCGTTGAATGCGTATGTATGGCCAAAAACAAAATGATTGGTCAGGGTGCGCTGGCAAAGTGGTTACGACTCTGAGTCTGATGACATTCCGGTGAATTCCTCCTGTTCAGGTCCGACATTCCATCTGACTCTTAGCCGTCTTAGCCACCGTCGCAGGGGTCCAACAAGTCCTGGCCACGCAACCTTTGTGGCAGCAGGTTGAGATGACATCCCAAACGGGGCATTTCACCCAAAGTGGATGACTGACGACAGACCAATGATGGTGAGTGTTGCAGGTCAGAGGTCAAAATTGACCCGATGTCAAAAGGGTTATTGATAAGATGTCATGTCATGAATGATGAATGATGGAAATCCCTCGAGCGCCATGGCCATCCCACGAATCCCAAAGCATTGGTCAGCTCAGCAGTCCCCTTTCCCCTCCTCCACACGGTCACCGCCAAGCAGCGAAGGCCCAGCAGGTGTTGGAGAGGTTTTGCTCGGTGAAGTCCGAAATCTGAACCACGGCTTCCCGGGCGATGGCCATCAAGACCTGCAGCCACGACCACCAGAGCCAAGGTGCAAGGAGGGGCGTGAAAACACATGGGTTCATGGTGGTCTTGAAATGTTCTGAAGGCAACATCATGAATTGACGGTGTTCCCTTCGGCCCCCATCTATGTCAGGTTGCCCCACCCCTCCAGGATTCCAGTGGCCGGAATAGCGCCAATCTCCAGGTCAGTCGTTGGATTTAGTGGCCGGGCGGGCTCACGAACTCATCACTTGGGTTCACCCAAGTCTATCCCATTCCAGGCGAAACTAGTGGAGGATGAGGAGTGGGAGGGTGGGTTTTCATTGATTCCTAATATAGTGATCATGCAGTTACTTGGTAATAATTGTTAGTTATTTGGAAACAACTGATTAAGTCACGTGCCAATGGCACGACTGGTGCTACTGCTACTCTGCAATCCCCTCCGCTGCCACCTTCACACCCAGATTAATCATGAATCCCACCCCATCCTCCTCCATTCCACTTCCCACCCTTCGTTCCCCGCTCAAAAAAGAATTGCAGCTTCGACACCGAATCAAACTTCCGCAGATCCAACGTGGCAAAGGCCCAGGCCAGGTTTGAGAGGTCCCGCGCGCGGGCGGAGGTCAAGAGTGGAGGAGCAATCGAGGCAATGACACGCAACAAGCGTCCAGGAGTGGAGTCCTGGACGAGGGCGGCGCCACGAAGAGCGCATGGCCGGGTGGGCCTGTGTCAACAGTAGGAGTTGGTTTCAGAAATGTGGAATCGAGAGAAATCCAGGACTTGAAGCAGCCTGTAAAGTCTTCATATCGTTTGACATTGACATGCTTCATTTTGGTGTGGTCTGTGCCCAAAACGAATCTGGTGCCGCAGGTCCAGTGGGCGGTGTGGACCAACATGAATATTGAGTGACTAAGTTCAACAGCAACCCCAGCCTCATATCGCTAAAGCTTGGATTTAGCTGACATCTTCCCCGGCGCGAAACTCACAGTATGTACTGTAGCCGAAAAAGGGTCCTTCCATTGCAACCGCGCCAGCGCAGTTGTAATGCTCGCCAAATGCCTTGGGCGTTGGAGGTGGGTGGGTGGGTTCTCTTGCGGCAAACCGCCACAGTGACCGTCCGTGTCCAATCCCTCAGCAGCATAAGGCTAACAAAAAACACACTGAACACCGGTTCAATGACGGGACGAGACCTGACTTCTAAAGGTCTCATACCGGGGATGCCCAAAACACTGCATAAAAATGGTTTGGATATGTTTGGATCAACATATGTCATGACCGCTAAAGAAACCGAATGTGCAATATGTACGTCTACTATGCAAGGAGAAACAACGACAGAAACGACGGATGGTGCCATGCACTGGCGGGAAGTTACATCAGGCCATTCCTGAGCTTATAGCGGCTAACCTAAGAGATGCGTTTCATATGGTGTGTGAGGGATGTGGTAGTGAAGTGGTCAACTGAAGCAGTGCCGGCCTTCGACAATCCATTCATCCGTTCAAACCTTAAGGCCGTGCCTGTGAGAAACCCGATCGACAGTTCTGCATGGTGGGTGCTTGTATCCAGGAACCGCTGGACTTCTACGTCCCGCTCAACCCTCCCCCCACCTGGCATGCACAATCTCAGGGCCCACCATTTCAGCGGCACCCGGGGTGTTGGCGTGCGACAGCCAGGATTCCTGAGTGGGGTCTTCAGGATCCTGGAGGAACATACCTAGATCATGGCGACCACACACACATATTACATACATACTTTATGTACATTAATATAGGCATAAATATATTGTTATATATATATTTATTATATACACTGTATACATATACTTGTTATTTCTAATAAGCTAGTCCAACACATGTGGAGTTTCAAGCAGAGTAAACAAGGAACTCGTCCACTCGGAAATCTTTGGGAGACTGAGAGGCCATGTCTTTGAAGTGGGCAAACGATCCACACTGAACCCAGGATGCCATCCACGCCCACTGGCCAAGTGAGAAACCAACTAAACAGCCAAATAGATCTGCTTAGCAAGTTGAAGATTCGATGCGGTAGAGGATCTCCAGCACCCGGGGGTCATGATGTAACTTCCTCGGATGACGAACTGCACGAGGATCTCTCTGCTTATGGTGTCGTGGTGAATGTCTTGGCTGGTTGGCCGAGCATCAAAAGCCCTTGACAATCCACCGGTCCTTTTTCCTATATACATTGACCCCAAAAAGCACCTGAAAACATCTTAAAACCACCCTATACAATGCAGGCACGTCAGTCTTGCCGTGTACCCTAGGATAGTCTGCGTCAGATCCCCTGCCCGTCCCGGACGCGAAACAAACAAAACACCGGACGCTCTCTTTGGGCACCGGGTGGAACATGGCATCTTTGGGCATCGGGCCCGTATACAAGTGTAATGAAATTGAACTCTCTATGAACCCCATGTGAATCTATAAATCTATATGAATCAAATGCATCTTGATATGTCTTGATGCGACCCGAAAGTCGTTGGGACATCAAATGACGGGTTCGATACCCTTCAATGGCTTGGAACTGCTAGGGGGATCCAGCGGTTCCACCTCATGATGTTCAGATCCAAAAATGTGCCCGTTGTCCGGGTATGGGCATGAATTCATGAATGGGGCAAGCTCCAATTCTCTGAGGAGATTCCGCAACTGTGGATGTGACAAGCTCCAACTCAACCAAACTGGGGGAGCTACCGTGATTTCTGGAGTTTCCACCAACTTTGATTTCTGGACCAAATTGGTTTCATGGATGTCAGGGACTCCCTCTGAAAAAAGACAAATGGTCGAATCGTCCAGAATCGAAGACCAATCAACCGAGGATCGCTGCACCCTTCAAGCGCGACAGCTTATTCAGCACCGTGATGGTGTTCAGCATGTCCATTCCTCTCGTCGCGTTTCTCCGTCAATGAAGTTTGCTCGCTGGTCCGTCTATCTTTGTCTTGTGTCGCCATCTGATGTTTCAAAGTAGGTAATCATTATCCAACGACAGAAGTGAACAATCATAAAGCTCCATCGTCATCAAGAACCGACAATATCCTTGTATCCTTATGTCATTTCACGATATTTCACGATGATGCTTTGTCAGCACCTGCAGGTGCATCAGTCATCCAACAAATCCATTTGGATACCGCCCAAAGGCGAAAGGAACATCCCCCCTTTCGCCTGTGAGCATCTCGTCTGCAGTGCACAGTAGCTCCTCCACATCTTCCATGGCCACCAGGCGTTTGTTCAAGGCCGCATGCCAACTGGATCGATGCCGCCGCTCTCGGCTGGAAGGCCGCTCCTGGCCAAAGTGGTGAATGGACACGGAAGAGCGGTTTGGGCTCTAAGTCCCTGACTGAAATCCCGAGTCAGGGGGAGAAACAAAAGTTCCTCACTTGGTAGTTGGACAAAGATTATGAGTTGAGGCTCGCGACATCTGGCGGAAATCAACTGAAACCACGGTTCCAAAAAGGCTTTTTTCACAACCATTTGTTAGCTCATCGTCATCGTCTCCCACCGCCACGCCGCGCCCATCCCTGCCAAAACGCCGTGCTCCTCCCCATCTCGTGCGCTCTCCCTGGGCTTTCGTGTCCAGGGTGAATCCACCACGAAGGATTGAGTCTTGGAACCCACAACCCCGCTCGAAGGATAGAAGGAAGCACTGGACCTCGCTCCCACAGAGCCCAAAGAACCCGTCGGCGCGAAGTCGTCCGCCACCGCTGCGAACGTCGTGCACTCGTCGGCCACCGCAGCATGGAAGGCGCCGGCGGAATAGAAGGAGGCGCTACTCATGGGCAGCCATCATACAGCTGGGAGACATGGTCTGCTCGACCCCTTTGTGAAAAGAACATGGAAGTGGAAACAAACCAAGCAGGTCAGAACACTGTTGATCTATCAGTTCGTTCTCGTTGTGGTGAGGAATCATGCTTCTGAGAGTTCTTGGGGCTCGTTGAACACCAGGATGTCAAAGAGTAGTGCAGCAACAACCTACATGAGTCCAGCCCTTTGAGGAAACCTGGACATCTTCTTGTGAATACTGCATATGCTGCCGCGTTTCTTTTCATGCTTCGTCCCATATGGACTTTGAACCTAGCTTTCCCATGCGCCGCCGCATCCCATTTCCAATGTGGGCGTTGCCTGAAAAGAAACGGACCCACGCCATGGAAAAGGAGCTACCGCCCATCGCCGTGATCAATGACATCGCCCACATGCTCCCTGGAATGCCTTCCAATAATCATGGAAGTGGACAACGGCCTCCTGGAATACTATTTCCTCCAGAAACAGGGGGGTTGTCCACTTCCATGTTTGTTTATGTTTGTTTCAGGGAGTGTCATCATGAAAGTAGAAAACCACCTGTTTGTAGAGGAAAAATGGTCCTCTATAGGGCCATTGTCCATGATTCACAGACAAAGACGAGCGCATCCCTCCTTGCACATCAACACTCTCCAGATCCTTTGGTAGAGTGGTGGGCTTGGGGCCTCCATGGGAGAGGTGTCGAACTAGGTGTGGAATGGGCGAACAACTGCGACCTCTGCCTCCGGCCTGCCAGCATGGAACGCCATACGCCATGGCCATTCCAAACCCCAAGTTGGAAGTTTGACACCAAAAGTCTGCTAGCCCAAGCGCAGCCAAGTTGGCAAAGGGAATTCCGCTTCTCCCACGGGGTGAAGAAAACCGGTCTGTGTCTGTGTCTGTTGACTCATTCGGTGGCTCCTTGCCATTCTGCTTTTCATGGCATCCCACTTGAGCCAGCGTTCTTTTTTGTCCAGCGTTCTTCCGGGGTGGTTTCTCGCCTGGTGGGAGCTGGTTTGAAAGCTGAAAGCCTTGTTAAAGCTTGGACCCTGGACCCTGCGGATTGCACTGGAAGATGAACACCTTGAAGTGAAAGCCATCTGTTGGTAGAGGAAAAGTAATCATACAAGGAGGCATTGTCGACTTGCTTTGAACAAAGGGTACTTTGATGCTTCCAAACTACTCCGAAACCCTCCCACAACCAAGCGCACCACCGACTCCACCTCTTCGCCCGAACGACCATCCGCTCTGAACGGGCTCCTCTCATCCGTTTGGGAATTCTTGCGGCGCAGCACATCCAGCCGTGCGGCCACCTGACCACCGGCTTCGAACGACCAGCGACCAGCGGGTGATGCCGATCGAGGCCGGTCCAACCGTGTCCGATCTCCGGCGCCGATCGTGAAAACAGTCTTGAGAATCCAAGATGTTTAGCAAAGTATAGAGGCCTTTTGCGAGCTATAGGCTTCAGGCCCACGTGAGCATCATGACATCATGCAACAAGAATGTCCCAAAAATCCATGCGAAGCATGGACAGCGCCCATGATCTCCAAGTCTCATCAAGTCTCGCTATTTTCCTGGTGGAAGCGAGAAAGACTTGCCTCATCGGCTTGCAGCGCGGGAACTCCCAAGACTTCCAGGAAGAATTCCTCGAAGTCACCACTCCAGCCACTTCCCTGGCAACCGCAAGGCCGCAAGCCGCTATACGAGTGTTTCTCCCACTCAAGGGAAGGGGGTGGGAGTTAGCTTTTCCAAATCAATAATAACAATCAACAAATATATGTGTTTGTCTCATGATGTTCTATGTCATGGGAAGTTACTCTGACCAACACCCGGAGGGAAATCGACCAACAAGCCTTGATTGGGTTATCACGCGTAGGCACATCATGGCACATCCACGTGGGGGTGTATATAGTATACACACACGTGTTCAATCGTTTGTTTACGATTCTAGCAATGTGTGATACGCATCTGATCATGCTGCAGGGTTTTGACCATGTGCGACGTTTCCAATTGCTTTCTACGCATGTTGGTTCTTGTGACCGATTCAGAATTGGGGCCATCAACCACCAAGGGCATTGAGGGTACCAACCCCCTGAAATGCTCCGGTTCACCTCGGACGAACTGGAGGATAAGGTCCAGTTCAGGTCTTTCACCCCGCCTAGCCCGTGTGCCCGGACCAGTGTGCCACATGTTTGGTCTCTCAACTTCTCTTGGGCTCAAACTTCGAAATGGGGACATCTCAAGAGGTACAGTAGACTCCAGGTAGACCTTACAGACCCACCCTCCAAGTGAGGAACCCTCGTCTTCGTGGGAGTCTCTGGCACTGACATCGAACTCCTTGCGACTCCCTCAGGCTCCGAAAAGAACGGTTAACATCGGTTCACCTTGTTCCACCGGTTCTGGTTTTCTGGAGAAGCCAATCCCCCGGTGGTGCACGGACTGAAGGAGCAAGCACCGCCGCAACTCGCAGCCTCCACGGCAGGGCAGCCAACCTCTTCACAGCTGGGGACGTTGTACCACCTCAAGAACAGTGAGGGGTGGGTGACCAAGGACCAACCGGGTGGAGTGTGGGACGCCACTCCATCCCTCCATCGGTCAAACTATTCGGGTCAAGTTGACAAGCTCCTAAAGCAGGACGCTCTGTTTCCCATGTGTACCATGGGACACTCTGACTCTTGTCAAAAGTCCGGCAATTCTTGGCACAGGTGGGGGATGGATGCGGATGGTCCGGGTACAAGTACAAGATAGTACAAGTTTCTCGAAATTTGATACCCTTCCCCGCCCTTCCCCTGCCCGGTGCCCGACATGCAGTCCGCACTCCTGAGCCAATTCTTGGCCTTCTTCGTGGGTGCCTTGTCCACAGCACAGCCATCACAGCTGCTGATAGTAAATGGAAACAACATGGAACAACACACGGTGCTGACAAGTCAGCTGTTCTTGAATCCTTCCACGGGTGCCTGAGCTTCTGAATGTGTGATCTTTCGAGAAATGAGCACATCCACCGACCAAAGCCCCCAATATCCCACTACAGTCACTACATGACACTAGCCAGTTGGGCCAATGATGAACACAGCACGCATCGGCGAACGTCCTGTGGGCTCCAGGTGTTACCGGCCTGCCGAGGGACCAGGAGCAAGGGCTCCTGGACGTTGTTGAGATCTGCTGAGCCCTTGCCTTGTGAGTCGTATAGTCTTTTGATTCAATAGATAGACCCTTGATCACTAAGAGCAGAAACATGCAGAAACCACCACTGGAAATGTGACTTCTGGACATGAAGGATCTCCTACTGGAACCCCACGAGCACATCTCAGAAGGGTCTGGGAGAGAGATAAATTAACTGGCTGTCCTCCTGTGATAATAACATCTGATGAACCAATTTTCACGGAAAAAAAGCGTGCGTTCCACGGGGTCCCGTGGAACGCACAGTTCTGACTCAAAATGCCCATGATTTGAGTTCCAGGTCAAGGTCTCTATCGAGTTGAAAAGGATACCTTGACCTCACCACGCCTGGTTCAGTACATTTCCCAGGATACTAGGTGGCCTGGTAGCATTATGTAGCATTATGTAGCATTGGCATTGTCAGGTGCCTAGACTTTCAGCTGCTATCACACGAAACCCATATTGGATGGCGCGTCCCGGTGGCTGCTGGCAACAAAAAGATCACACAACAGCACCGGGCCCAACAAACAGCGTTGGCCAACTCCCACGACCTCTCCTCTTGAAAGTGCACCAGCAAGTCAACGGGACACATATTCAAACCATAAGCCTGCAACGACAATGGCACAAGTGACCCCCTTCTCTGGCTTGGAGCCCTCATACACCGTCGCACCGACATTGGCTCGTCATGTGTTTATTGCGTGGAGATTTTTATGAAAGCCGCTGCCAGGATCTTCCTGAGGAATCCCAGATGGTGGATTTGTTCTTCTTGGGCCAATCTAGAAAATGCAACCTGGTTCAAACCATGACTGCCTCACATGTTCGATCATGTTCCTTAGCAGGGTAATCATTCACAACGATGGAGGATGCTCCAAAGGGTTCGAAGGAGACTTTGCGCTCACCTTTGGTTTCGGCTTCATGCTGCCCACACTGAGACGGTGGCGGACAAAGGCGGGCATTTCTCTCGTGGAGCCTCTCGAAGACTGGCCACAGCAGCAGTTGCAAGGCTCAAACCATCGGAGCCCTGGCCACTGATGGAGAGATGAACTTCAATGGAAGTGGTTTGACCTTCCCTTGGCCACAAGAGACAGGGTATCCAAACAACTTTCTTGTACCTGTTGTCTTGTTTGGCTCCTTTGCTCTACTTGGAATGCAGGCCCTCTTCTCCCTTGTCGGATACCCGTGGTGGCCCAGTCTGAACATGGGAATGCCCCATCGAAATCACACCTATCTTAGGCAATTCCTCAGTTGACTCCCAGCGGGTCTTAGCTCCTTTAGGGTTTTGCTGCTAAAGATCTTGGCTCCTGAGTTGTTGCATCCCTCGTGCCAATCCTGAGTTGACTCTAAAGCACCACTCGGCCAGGTTGAACCCTACATATGTATGTACTATGTTTGGTGAAACTTCACGTTCCAACAGGCGCGCACAAGGGATCGCGCCTCTCGCAAGGATCGGAGCAAATCCAATACAGGCTCCGGAGACAACCGCCTGCGTCTTCGCAAAAAGCTAAGAACTCGTAAAAATTCGGTCATAATGCACACGGGGAGAAAAGTCATGGACGCTGGTCCAGGGTGCCAAGAACAATGGGTGCGTGCGGCTTTAATCAGGGTGCTGTTTATTTTTGGAGTGTCTTTTTCTCAATCCTGGGGTCTTAGAGTTCGTTTGTGCTTACAGCAGTTTGGGCGTCAACCCTTTGGAGCGGGCTTCCTATGGAGCTTGGCCCGTACTAGTGAGATACTATGAGTGAGATGATGAGAGGAGTGGGACGCCAGACTCACAAGGCAAACTGGCGAAAGTCGTAGACGTTGAAGTCTTGAAGTAGAATGGGAATGGGCAGGAGGGTGAGGCAGCATTGGGAGGTGGAGTGTTATTCCTCATGGTGAGACAGGGTGAAGAATTGATACCAGGCAATGGGTGGAATTCCTGCGAGGGCTGTCTGTGTGGCATGCTCATTGCAAAGGCTGTGCAAGTTGGTAGTCTTGAGACAAGTTGAAGGACGAAAGGTTGGTAGAAAAGCAGAACATGCAGTAGAAAAGCCTGAAGACCAACCGGTGAGAGATGGTGAGAGATGGTTCGTATGGGTTTGTGTTGTCCAGCTTTTCTGGCCCCTCAAATGTGCACCCTCCGAATGTGCAGCCAATGCCAGCAGTTGGGGATCGGATTTCCCTGCTTGACAGCAATTGGGGTGTCCTGTCTTGACTTTCTGTGGGCATTTACCATTTACCAAGTTTTGGGCAGCAAACCCTCTACATCCTAGTGTCAACAGAGTAGTGCACCCTGGTCTATGGCATATATATATATATACATGAATTCAGTTGTCGCGGCAGGCGCAGCATAGTGGAACGAAAAACAAACAATACCCAAAGCGAGCACATCCGCCCCCCCAAAATGGCTGGGAACCTTAAGAAGTTCCAAGGGACAAGCTCGCTGTTTTGGATGCCAGCCTAGCTCTAGCAAAGGAACTAATAGGGAGCAATGACGAGTCAACTTGAGAAGACGTAGTGCAAATTTCGTGATCTATGTTGTTGGTGCAGTGCAGCATGGTCGATATTAAAAAAAGGTTTCGTGGCAGGCGCTGCAAGTGGAAGAAATAGTTCAGTAAAAGAAAAAAACAAGCAAAGGCAAAGCAAAACAGCAACAAAAGCAAAAGCAACAAAAAGCAAATCAGAAAAACACAAAAAAAAAACAAATAACAATGAAAGGAATTCCCTAAAAGAATGCCCATCCAAGAACAATTGCTCATTGGATGTGTCCAACTCAAGCAAGTGTATTGAAATATTGTTCTCGTCTCACCACGATATTATTCGATATTTTGCAGTGCATGCTGCAAGCACAAAAACGATGAGCTCAAACCAATCGGCCTGGGCCAAAACACATCAGCAATTCGGTGTTCCATACCATTGCTCCTTCACCCTACGAGATCTCCACCGAAAAACACCTCCGCCGGACTACAGGAACCAAACCATGTTGCTCCGGCAAACGAAGGTACGAACGCAGCACACACCGATAACCTGCACACCACGCCAGTTATGACGTCTGTTTCAGAGTGTCTGGACTCTTGAGAAATGGCAGGCAAAGGTGGGATGCACGACGTGGACGAGTCGGACGTGCTCCACGTCGTGCCTCTGCACACCGAGCTGTTCGAAGTAGTGGGCCAGTGTAGGGAAGAAGCGGCCTCGGTGACTCGGTGAGATGTGGATATCGATGGGTCAGCCTGAGATCCTGGTTAGGGTGATCCAGTCGAACTCTTAACCAGAGGTCACCTCAGTCAGAGGTAACATGTCTCACCTCAGTCAGAGGTAACATGCCTTTTTTATTCTGAATGGAAGGCTGCGGGGTGCCCAAAACATCCACTTGATGCGGGTCTCTAAACCATTGAACTCCTGATGCAGTAGGTGACAATGACAGTGTTCTTTTGCATGGTGCTTGCCCAAATTATGTCACTGGGACTTCTGCAGTTCTCTCAGTGCTGATCGGGTGCTGCAACAAATGTCCAGTAAGACCTACGGTAGATCCACCAAAACGGTTCCAACACTGCCGATCTTCAGACAACATCTGTTTTCCGCGGGAATCCATGTAAGTGCACCCTTCGGGCGACCCCTCCTTCAAAGGGCCTGGCATTGGAGGCTGCTTTGCGCCACAATCATCCAGGATTGGAATGCTGACTAAGATATTCAGCCGATTCCTCGATTGGAATGCCTTGGAGATACCTATATATGCTCAAAGCACTACATGTTCTGATCTACATGTACATACATATATACTGTATGTATATATGAAAATGGCTATTAAACTATATATGTATATACCTGAGACAAGCACACGCACACACACACACACTTGATTATATACTTTTATATTTGCATAGGTCATGGTCATGGAGTCGTTGGGTGTTGGCCAAAGCAATAAATGAATGCTTTCTGACGTGCAACTGACCTGGAAGGTTCTTCAAATATTGCCATGATCGCAAATCTTAGGACAGAACACAGCATGTCAATGGTTCCTACGATGTCCCCTTTGTTGACGGGTGGTTCTCAATCCGGGATCAAATACTCCACCGCCAGCTGCGCACCCAGCTCAGCTCTACGCCGCCTCAGAGTCTGCGCGACTCGGGCGGCTGCGCAGGCCGTGAATGGGACTCGATAAGCGGCTCTGGCTGCGGCTCTTCTGATGGATCTGCCGAAGCTCCAGCTCCACCTCAGGTGCAACATGACCCCAGCAACAAAGCTCCTCTTCAAGGTCAGAAGTTTGACTGTTTAAATGTGACAAACATAGAATTGACGTGTGCTATGAAAACAGCCTTTTCTGGATTCTTGGGTTTAGCATTCCTGGTTGCCATAGAAAGTGACCTGACCACATCAAACCTGAAAGCCAAAACGTCGGTGTCTGACTGAGCCACAAAATCCAGGTTCTTCAAAGGATAGTCGGCTACCTCCTCCGCTGGGAAGGCCTCAAGGTTGCAGAAAGACCAGTCGTGCGAGCATGCGCCGATGCATCAATCCAGTCACACATGTCCGCCCACCCCGTGTCCTTATGAGGGCCAAATCAGTAGTGAGGAGATTGGAACCTCATCAAAGGCCAACTATTCCAGGGTGCAATGCCATCCAGGCTAGCGGCAGTTAGCGATTCCGATGATTCCGAGAAAACAAACCCCTTGAGACGCAGTGTGCCACCTGGAGTCCTTCAAGGGACGGATTCTAAACATGTGCGACTGAGTGTAAGCGTCCTCACATGGCTCGCATCTTACTTGCTCACGCTTGGCGGTCGCAAGATAAACAATGGGCATTTCCTTTGTGTGAACTTTGATTAGTGTCTTTCTTTTGAGGCGTTCTTTTGGATTCAGCACCATGTGAATGTGCCAAGCCTGTGGGCCATGCTTCAGCCGAGTTTGGGTCGCGTGCTTCTGTTTCGTTCCTGGCACCAGGTCCCGAACACTTCGGCATCTGCGAGCACTTTGTAGCAAAAGAAATGCCTATAGAAGGCCTAGAACCAATCCACCACCAGACCAGCTTCCTGGCGGATCATTACAAAGTCGATGGGTCGCCCTTTCCTGCAGCTTTGCTCTCTGTGGTTTGTTCGTGCCAAGAAAGTGCCCGTCGGTGTGTCCAAGCCGAGCTCGCACCCATGCCCGTTTTCGCTTGGTGAGCCGAAAAGACAGAAAAGCACATAAAACACACGCAAACAAAAAATGCTGCATCAAGAATAAACGGTATCCAATTGTAGAGCTTGCTCCTCTTCTAAGGCTCCAGGATGGTTCTAATATATATATATATATCACACACATGCATACAACTATAACTACCTGATAGTTATTAAAACAAATGCGAGCTTCTGTTGATCTACTTTTGAGTTGGATGTGTGTTCGGGCTCAGTTCTCCCAAAGAGTCAAACAAGCCGGCGAAATGCCTGAAGGGTGTCCAGCATACAAAAGAATCGTTTCACTGAGATGAGCCATCGAGATGAATCTCGTCTATCGATTTTTTGAGAGGACTTGATTGGCGCGTGCGCAAATAGGCGCTATAAGCATGATTTCGCTGAGCCTTGATCACCAAGCATGCCAGCAGAATGGTTTCCAGAAGCGTCAAATACGAAGACCAATAGGCCAAGGCCCGGTCCAAATCTTTAGGATGAAGGGGATCCAGCAAACAGCTGCCCTCCTTGGATGATTGAACAATGAAAAACAATACTATTACAGTAGTGTAGCAACTTTTGTGAATGTTCTCTCAAAGTTGGACTTTGAAGGCTGATCCAGGGACTTTTAAAACAGCATAGAAAATAAAACACCACGCGAAACAAACATGAGCTATATACATGAGCATTCTCGGCACCCATTCAGCTTTGTTTTGGCACTTGATTCCACCGGGTCTCATGTGGTGGAAAGACCTCCACGATTTTCCGCAGCAGCATCTTTTGCAGTGTGGACAAGCCAATGATCAGCTTCACTGAGAGAAACCTTGGCTGTCCGTTCGCCGAATGGCTGTCCACATGGCTCCAATCGTCTTGGACCAAAAAATACCAAAACCCCAAAACATTCACCGTGCATGGTCCAAGCAGGAAACTTGGCCGTGGTCTTCCAGTCATGCAGCAACTCGTGCGTTGCCTTGTACATCACAAAGAGTCCGTAGACTGCCAAAAGCCCAGACACTTTCAATACCTCAGGTCTGGGTGTGGAAAACTATATGCCTTGCCCCACGCTATGCCTCTGAGACCGGGCGTACAGGATGCCCTGCACAAAAAGAGGATGCAATCACTGAGTATTAAAGAAATGAATCGAGGAACTAAATGAAGAAGCGTGAGCTATCCTGCATCCAGTCGGTAGCAGCGTCTAGATGCCCTCACCCTTATTTGAATAATTTCCGCCAACACCCGCACCAACTTAAGTAAGAGCAGCCAAACAAAAGAAATAACAATCACTGAGTAATGACTACCGATGTCCAACCCCACCGATATATCCAAATCTGTGGGATCCATGGGTTGGGCCACGTACCAAATGAATCCTGGGACTTGCTCGATTTGGTGCCATATCCAACATATATGATATATGGATGTTTGATATATCCATCAAAAAGATTCAAACAGTCCCTGGTTTTGTGGGTCGTAGCTCGGACTATAGACTAGTGCTCTCCTAACCTGGTAGCCAGGTCAAGATATTGGAATTTGAAAAACACAGTTCTAATTTGGGCTCTGACCTCATGCTGGACTTGAGCTGCAGAAGGCACCGATCCCCCCAAAACACACCAAAAATAAACCATCGACTGGAGGCTCCTGGACGATGTTAAAGATCTACAGTTCAGAAAAGCAGTTAGGATCTGGAGGGTCAGATTGAAGCTTTTGACTTTGTACGTGAAAATATTCTACTACCTCCCAGTGAGTTGGGATATTCCGTCAACCGTAGGACCCTGCAAAAGGTGTTGCACATGACAGCCAAGTGGTTTCACGATCCTATCGCAATACAGTATATCACAATATATCACAGTTTCTCTTATAGTTTCTCTATTGCGATTGTTGCAGGCTGCATTGTCCACTAGATGTTTGTCACGGCACGTGTAGGATTATGTTTTTGACCAGTCGCGTTTTCGAATGTGGCCAGGACTTGAGCGCGGGCAGAGCCAGCCACCATCGTCTGCCGGGTGTATATGTAGCATGTGTTCAGAATGACCTGTGCATAGCCATACTGTTTCACCAGCCGCGAGACCCACAGAAGTTGGTTGGCCGTCACATGGTGCGGCCGGACGCATTTCATAAAAAGGCAGCCCAAGGGAGGGACGGCGAAGTACTTCTGTGGACCATATGCTTGAACTGCTTGTATGATAACCTCGCCCATGTTGGAGTTGGAGTGATAAGAACTCCCATCCAACTCACCATCCCGCCGCCGCTTCAGTGCTTCAATGCTCACCAACATGAAGAGCAGTACCAGAAAGGAATAAATTGCATAGGCCTCCTCAGTTGAGGAGCGGGAAGAATGGAAGTCCGGCAACAGCAATGACATGCCTCAACAAGACCACCCTGCCAAATGAAAAGAGCCCTTGAAAGGACCCGGTTCATTTACACTACTAACCTTCTCTGAGCTCTGTTTGGGGAGGTCAGGTCACCTAGTCTATGCTCCACCGCCCAAGGATGCCCAGTCGGATGACATGTACTTCTCAAAAGCCCGACCCCCGGCGATGTGGTATCGCTGACTCCTGGCCATGTTTCGCTTTGCCCCATGAAAAGCTCTGACATTGGAGCATTCAAAGGACACCAAAGTGTGACCCAGGTGCCTTGGTCGAGTCCGGCCAGGTCAGCAACTGGAAGCAAAGCACTGTGCTTGGGAACTCAAACAGGTGCATCTGAGAAGTGGCATGTTTCAAAGGGCTATGAAAGGACTCATTTCCCAAAGGGCTGTCTCCTCTGTCCGTCCAAGTGACAAAAGGCCCAAACCATGGGAAAAGCCAACATGCCATGGTAGTAGCTCCGCTGCATGCACAGTGGTCGCTGGTCCAAGGACCAAGAATGCCGTAGGCAAATGGAGAAAGTGATGATGCAACCCAGCGTTCCAGTGCCGGTGACCAACCGGAAGAGGTCGGGTTCGCCTCGATCATCAGCGCACGAACAAAACACATGGACCCATGAAGCATCGGCCAGAAACGTCGTGAAACGTCGCTCACCTTCCATTAAAGACCCGCCCTTGGGAGCTCACGCAAGGACCTAAGGGGGGGGTCTTTACTAGCACCCTTTAGAACCCAAGCAGCCATCCATCTATTCTTTGGATATGTGATATATGTGCCTTATCCAGAGACGGACCTCCATCATTCCCATCATCACAGCGGGATACGGATCCCCAATCGGCTGTTCCAGGCTTGCTTTCAAGCGAGTGGCTCTCCATGCAGCGCTGGTAGAAGCGGGACACGCGGAAGTCAGCGTAGCGGTCCTGAGTGGCAAAACCCCCGAACTGGTGCGGACCGGTCGCCGCCTTGGCGACCGGTCCGACTGTGAGATAGTGCGAGTGCTTCGAGACGTAGATGAAAGTGGATGTTGGAGATCAAAGTAGGGCGATGATGTTGGAGAGAAACTCCAATGGCACCAGTGAAGCCGCTTCGAAGAGGGGCGCCACGAAAATCAGGCGACCTCTATTCAGATGGGTCCCCTGTGGGTGACTACTTCCAGATCTACAGTGGGGAGCAAGCAACAGCTGGCCGGTTCGGGGCTTCCTATCTTGGAGACAGGAAGGGGTAGGAAGACAAAGGACGCATCCTCACTCTCCGGCGAAAAAGGCATGGGACCCCGCTCACTCTCCAATCGATCCTTACACGCTGGACTGAAGACAGCGAGCGCATCCCTCACTCTCCCTCACTCTCGTTTCAACACAAACACGCCGCTGGACAAACACAAACAGTCCAGGCGTCATGCTCGTCAAACTCATTCATCAAGGAAGACTCCATCCTTTGGGACCCTTCCTTCAGTTGGCACTCGCCGCTGAGCCGAGGGTGAGGATGCGGGCGAGCCGGGCTGGGGTGGTAGTTAACCAGGTCTGGGATGTTCATTTGGAAGCCATGACTGCCGAGGTCAAGCATTGACACTGCAAGAGAACTATTCTGAACACCTTTTGAATATCCCTAAATGATGAGAATCCAATCTAGCCCCTGCACGGAAAGCCCCTGCCGCCTCCATTGGAACAAAAGGGAGTGATAATAAAACCTTCAAGGTTCAAAACAGTTTGATTGAGCGGGGGTTCGCAGGCTTATAGGGTTGTCAACACGTACCCCAAACATCCTCAAACACTATGAGGTCCGTGATAGGCTCAGGGGACAACCAATTAACACCGGTCTGTGCAACAAAGGTACAGCGTACGGTAATTCTCTTGGCTTTCAGTGCTTTCATTCGTCATGTTGCGTATGGACCTGCTTGCCCCCTCCACATGCTGACTCATGCCACACAACGGCAACGCCACACGGCCGTTCCAGCCTCAAAACAGCCGGCTGACAGCCCTGAAGCCGTTCCAGGGAGCCGTACCGAGATCCTGCTTGCCACACCGTTCCGCTAAACCGCGCTGCTCGGGCGGCAGGAACACGCAGGCCTCGAACTCGGTGAAGGATCTGGAACTATTTGGGAACAACACGTATCTCATGTACTGTGTCATCCCGTTCTTGTTACTAGTAGCGTTCTTGTTGCTGGATGTTGCTAGTATGGCCAGGAGCTACCAGTATACTTCTTGCTCCTAGTAGCGATGCCCTTTGTTATTAGGATACTGTGTCAACCTGTGTCAATAGTTCTTGTGTCCAAGATGGTCCAACAAAAGAACCCAAGAAGCACTGCGCAAAGTAGGCCGGAAGTTTGGAGGGCATGACACAGCTTTATCGATGCTATAATAATATGCTAGTACAATCGCTAGTCGGGTCATTGACATTGGCTTCTCGCATAATTAGCTATCTTCAGTCAATTAAGCATAATCAAGCAGAATGGCGTCAGTATCTTGCATGTTCAGATTGCAAAGCGAGTGCCCCGGGACACATCACCTCCCTTGATGATAGACACGCAGCTTTTTGGGCCTCCGGTCTGGATGGGTGGCCCCGATGGTCGGATGCGGAATGCAAAAAGGTCCGTGAAACGACGGCCGAACTGTCAAGTTCAAGGCCAAGATTTCTTGGAAAACTCGGTCCTGAACCCGGTGGCGGTCAGGCGAATGGTACAACACCCAGTCCCCATGCTGCACAGCGCTGTGACACGAGTCATGACACGTCAATTCCTTTCAGTCTGACGAGCTGGCGCTTTCTACCTGAGATGGTGGCTGTGTTTGCTGCAGCTTGCTTGATCCCCATTTGCCCCTGTCTCTCTCTCTCTCTCTCTATCTCTCTCACTTCGGCTCTCTCTCTATCTCTCTCACTTCGGCTCAAGAAAATGACACCCCCGTTGACCCCGTTGTTCCAAAGAGGGTTGTGAGAACGTCTACTATATATATATATATATATTGTAAATTATAAATTGCTCTCGGAGGCTGAGGCTACCCGTTGAGCTTCCGTAGCGAACGCTCACCACATCTGCCATGGCGAATTGCCAAGTTGCTTGGTGTTGGGCGCCGGCTGCAATGGGCCGGACATCCCCTTCACCTCACGTCCGGGCCGGACATCCCCTTGTGCGTGTCAAGACAGACACGGTGCGGTGGACAATGGAAAACGCGTGCTTTGCTTCATTTTTATCAGGTTTCTGCCAGGAGTTCAAACATGTTCAAAACCAGGAGTGTCTGTCACGACTCCTGGCTCTCCAAGTCACACCAAAACCCCCCCCATCTCTTCACCGCTGGTGCATCGTCTCGGTCGACCGGATCGGATCGAGTGGAGCATCGTCTCACCGAGGCACTGAGACCTTACCGATCCGGCCCAAGGAGGATCGCTTCAACAAGCCCGCGGACACCACGAGCTCACCGATCATCTTGGCCGATTTGGATCGGGCCATGTCCTCAAAGACAGGTCGCCCAGAGCCAAGGGTGATGATGAACAATGACTTTTCTATGTCATGAAGGCATTTCGCCTATCTAGCCCACAGCAAATCAGCTTTAGTTGATCAAGACCACAATAAACCAACAAAAACAGTATGAAAACACAAACATCTTCTCAGCGGCCTATGATATGCCTCATAATCTGGCATGAAAATGCATGAACCAGACTGTCAGTCTCGATTCGTTTTCGCCATGCCTTGCATCGTTGACCACGAACAATTCAATGATAGACCTACTAAAAGAGGCATTGTTAGTGCTGGGATCGGCTCTTTGGATGGATTGGCCATGGCAGCAGGTGGGGGGGTCTGCCTCCAGTTGACCAACACGGGATGAATCCATTATGACTCCATCATCTTTCTTATAGAAATACCATGGCGTAATTACCAGTAACCCACCATGAAATACCAGTCGCTGGTATATCGCCCCAGGAGAATCTCATCTCTCCCCGCCGCTTGTCGGATCAGACGCGTGTTGCCCTTCACCGAGCATCATTCTCCTTCTTTTGGTGGAGTCCATGGCCCCGTCCTCCAAGTTGAACCAGCCGGTCCTCGGTTTACGCGAACAAAGCGCTGTTGGGCTGCGCTTCCACGTGCTACTCCACAGATGTCTGGACCAGGAGCACTGGTGCATGCGACTGGCTGAAGCAGGTTCAGTCCGGTTCCAGGTGAATCTGGGTCATCCAAATCTGGTGGAACCCTCTTGGTTGAACAACATACGACTACCATCAAAGGCCACAAATGGCTTCGAGGAGACTAAGAAAATCGAAGAAACCATTTATGTTTCAAGTTGAGTGGATCACACAAGAGCATCCGAGCACCAGTGATGATTGAAATCACATTGCTCCTTTGGGTTCTTTAGGTGATTTGACGTATGCAACTGCAACATCTGCCCCACATGACATCAGCTCATCAATTCACATAATTACCGATCCAGGCATCCATGAGCACGAAGTGATTGTTCGCCTCTGCGTGGGCTACCGCCGTGTACTCGCGGTCATCCTTGGCATTCCTTGGAGCAGCTAGCAGCTAGCTTTGACAGTAGTGCGCAAAACGGATGGCATCGCTTCAAAACCAATAAATGGTGCTGGTCTGTTCAATGGATGTTCATCGTGGTAAGTGGCTTGAACTCCCTTCAAGACCTGGAGTCAAGTTGGATCCCGATCGATCGGAAGCTAAACAAAAATACTCATCGGCAAAGTTCGCGCACAAACACACCTAAACGCAACACGCGTTTATCAGCATATCACAAATCTCTCTCGGATTGCCGCTGACACTGTCAGGTGAACATTTGTGATTCTATCTCCTGCTCCCATCCCCTAGTTCCACGATTGGCGCCACCTCCACTGCTGAGTGTCATATCGGCACCTACCTCCAGCAACAGCATGGTGGTCTTCATGTTGCCGCTGGCCGCACTAACGTGAATGGGCGTCCGCTTCTTGTCATCCTGGAGATTGGTTAAGGCCCTACAGTACGGCATTTGCGTTACACTCCGACTCACGAACATGGAAGTGGAAACCACCCTGTCTGTAAAGGAAAATCGTCTTCCAAGGATCCATTTTTCACTTCCCATGTTAGTGAGTCGGAGGGTGCCCTTGGAGTGTAACTTGATCATTCTTCGGCTAGAGACTGGGGTGTGGCTCTCCATCTAGAGACTGAAGAGTTGGAGACTGTGCGCATGTTGGCGAACTTAGAGCATAGCAATACATAGTTTAAGAAACTCCCGGATTCAAAACCCTTAACTTTTGGCATCGGCGCAGTGTAGCTACCAAAAAGAATCAAAACCCACCAGCCCGAGTCTGCCAATATCACCAGCCAAACAATGGGCCAAGAAGTGCCCCGCCCACCACTGTGGAGTGTCACAGAAACCTGGGCGACCCAACACCGATCTCCGGGGAAATCCACCGAACACGACGCCGCATGACACCCCGTCCAGTTGGCATGATCCCAGCTCTAGCCAGCGGGGCCACCCATGCCCAAAGGATGTTCAACGAACAAGAAGCAGGCAGGAAGTCACATTATCATGAGCATGTGGCCATTCATTGAACAACAACCACTCCCACAACACCTAAACCCCTGCTCTCTGTGCCCAAAAACGACGGATCTTCGTCGCGCCAGTCTCTCCAGTCCTTGATGTTCACATCAGCTCCCCACTCCACGAGTCGGCACACCCCGTCCACGTCATCGTTGGCGGCCGCCACGTGCAAAGCCGTGCGGCCTTTGGCATCCGCACTGTTCACCTCGAGCGCCGACACGTGCCGCGGGGAGCGGGTCTTTCGTCCCAACCAATTGGGACATGTCCATGTTTGTGCAAGGGATTGGACTGTTCTCAGATGTGGCGTTCTTTCGATTTCAATCAGTTGTGCACAAAAGGAAGCCATGGCATCTGTTTTCAGATTGCAGTTGGGTGAGTTTGCCACTCCGAATCCACTGAATCGGTGTCGGTTCTTAAACTGGGCACTGTCTGGGCGTCCTTTATGTACAGAAATTGAAAGAAGCATGCACGAGAGAAGTGCGATTTGTTAGGATACAATGGTTCAATTATGTGTAGGTTGCAGGATCGAAAGGCTTGGGCCCTCAAACTCTGGAAAGTGTCTGGGAGTGTTCAATGGCTTTTAGACCGTTTGTTTCAGTCATGTAGCTGTCGTACCGGCCGGAAAGGACACTCTCCGGAAGGAAAGATTGCTCCACTGTGACTTCCTGTTACAGTTTGAGACGGAAGAATGCACAGAAACCAGGTCACATGTCGACAGGACACGGGACCGTCCTCCTGCCTTGACGCCATAGGTGTGCAAGAACTCCATGAGATCATAGCGCTTGTTCTGCGTCACGATGTTGAAGGCGGTCTCTCCCTTCTGCGTCTTGGCCGATAAGTTGGCGCCACGGCGGTAGCAAAGCTTGGCCAGGCCCATGTTGCCAGTGTGGCAGGCATACTCCAACAAGGTTTGCCTCGGTGGGTTGCACTCCCTGAGGTCTTTGAGTGGAAATCATTCTTACAAAAAGGACACAAAAAGGGATCCCCCTTGAGGCCTTGGGGCTGCTATAAACTACTTCCTTGACACAATGTGCATTTTTTCGCCTCCCCTGCCAGCCGCCCCAGTCGATGCTTTGACCATTCTTTTCTCGTCAGGGCACTCTGTCTCGACGTCCCGTGCATCAATCTCGGTGGTCTCCAGCAATCGCTCGAGCATGTTCATGAGCACAGTGCCATTCCGGGTGACAATCTGCTTCAGATTGAAGGTCTTGAGCTTCTCACCTGATTTTAAGGTCGAGCTCAATCAGACTCGCAAGTCTTCAGATATCGATCTTGACTTCCCTTTCTGGAGCTCAAGGGCATTTTCCAGACCTGTGCCGGGTTTGGGCACTCAGGGGGACAAAGGCCTTAGCTGCTAGGCTTGTGGAACATGTTTCATGAATATCTGGGTCAGTGGGAAGGCAAGTGGCGCTGTGGCTCAAAAGCTGTCTTCAAGTCGGCGAAGGGGTCAGCAGCTGTTGGTTGAGTCCTCACCTGGCAGCCACGTGTGTTCTGTGGGACCTGAGGACCTGAGGATCTGGAATTCTTCGGACACTCCAAGCCGCGAATTT